GTATATATTTGTATATATATATATATATATATATATATATATATATATATGTTGTTTGTATACAGCTGTTTTTTGTTTTGTTTTGTTTTTAAATTAAATAAATGTATGTATTTTTTATGTCATGATTACGTTTGCTAATATTTTTATGCGCAGCGGGGTGAGCCCAGCCCTAGGCTGGGGTACTGCGCTATGTGAGACCACTGTAATAATAATAATAATAATAATGAGTAGACGGCAGAGGTTTAGCTTTAAAAAAAAAAAACAAGAACATATTTTGACGCGTTAAGGGGGGAAAACAACGTACCTTGTTTAATTAAATGTGCCGTTAATGATGTGAAATATGCTGGAAATGCATTATCTCAACAACAAAGGGCATGTTTGCTTTGTAACCTTCCGATTTCACAATGTATAATTAGAGGTCTATGAAAAGTATGCCAACATGATATAGGCCCAGTGTGTGTGTTGTTCAAGGGGTGTTACCAGTTGAATCCTTGTGGCTTCAGACACATAGATTTTTAGAAAGTTACCTCCCCTTTCAAAGATTATTGCTCAGCCTTATTCCTAGGTATTCTATTAGGAGACATTAGTATATTTTAATATTCAATGTATTATTTTCTCATACTAAATCATTACCAGTTTTCTCATGTTTATTTTTTTTTCTTTGTTTTAATTTTATAAACTGTTTGGTATTAAAGTAAGGAATAAAGCCAGTTTTACTCTTTGGATAATGAAAAGTAATGTCCCTTCATAGATCTATTTTCTTCCCTTCTAAATAAAAGACTTAAACTATCTCTCTCAAACTTTCTTTTAAGAGAACGTCACGCAAATGAACATGGCATCTGTATCGCAGTGGGAAGTTGTTGGAAAGTCTAAACCTAAAAAGGCCAACCCCGGATCACAGAATCTGTCGAAAACACAGAAAAAACATCTGATTGACAAAATGCCGCGAATCGAAGCTTTTGGTAATTTGCTCATTGTGTATCTTCATATCTGTTGCATGTTGCACAAAACTGACTTATGGTCTCGTTGCATACGTCATCAAAAAAAAAAAAATTAAATTGCCGGTTTCAATCAGTTTGCTTTTAGACGTTAACATATATATATATATATATATATATCGGATTGTAGAACATTAGAGTAATTATTCTTTAATATATTTTTGTTTAATTTAATAGAAGTGAAAATAAAAAATGTTTCCAACTTAATCATTGTTGAAAGTGTGTTACAGTATGTTTTTGTATGCATCTAAATTTCTTTAACTTCAGCACCAGTTAAAGAGGACAAAACAATTTATTCTGCTTTCTTGGAAAAAGAGCAGCAGCAAAATGAAAAAAATTCAGCAAATAAACTGCAAACTAATGGACCTAGTTCTAACAACACCAAGAAGCCCATTGTGCCAAAAAAGAAAAAGTCAGAGCTAGATCACAAAAAACATGACAAGTCGATTCCGCTTGATATTGCTTTCTCCCAGGTACTAAATTCTCAAAATTTTTGCAATCCATAATATCCTGTTTTTTTAAACTATACTTTCATACATTTATAAAAACCTTCCTTCATATTTTTGTTAATGCCATTAGAGACTTTAAAAAAATTTTAATTCTGTTTCTATGAGCTGTTTTAATTCTGTTTTATAGCACAATTGATAAAAGTAAATCTTTTTTAAAAGCAGAAATTTATTCATTGAATAAGAAACAGTAATTTATATTGTTAATAAGGAATGCCCACTAAAATTCATACATGGAAAAAAAACTCTTTAAAGGTTGACCACCGTGAACTAGAAAATATCCTAAGCATGTCTAAAGCAAGGTTTCCAGAAAATCAAGACATCTGGCTAAAGGATTTGGCATCTTGGCTTAATGTGAAGCTAGAAAAAGTTAAAGATGCTGATAATTCCTTCACCTTCAAGGGAAAAACTCCTGGTAAATATTCCTAGAATTTTAACTTAAAAATACCGGTTCCATTATTTTTTTAAAACAAAAATTCTTTGTTGGTTGTGATAACATTTATTTTATTTGATGCTTTCTCATTCTAGGCTATCCGTTTGAAGCACTTCCTCAAAGTTCGCAGAAGGTTTTAAACTCTGTTGTCAAAAAGTTCTCCAACCAGTCACTGGATAACCTCTTCGACTATTGTATTCAGATGATGCTTGATCAGTCAAAAGGTAAAAATTCATCAATGTTGATTTTCATTTTTGTTTAAATTATAAAGCAAAATAATCTAAAGTATGTTAAGTCGTAGTTGTTTTTTAAACAAAACATATAATTGAATTGAGGGTACTTTCATGTTTCAGATTTGTCTACAATGGGATTTCGGATTTTTCTACAACTCCTGGCTCATCACAAACCAGAAATTGTTTTGGGAAAGATGCACCAGGTATGTAATGCAATTATAATATCTTATTTAGAACTTATTTATTTTTTTTTTTTTTTTTTTTTTTCATTGAAAAAATAAAAGCATTATTGCTGATTTTTTACACATTTTTTTAAGCTTAAAATAAAATAAATCCTGGCTCATCACAAACCAGAAATTGTTTTGGGAAAGATGCACCAGGTATGTAATGCAATTATAATATCTTATTTAGAACTTATTTATTTTTTTTTTTTTTTTGCTGTTTCATTGAAAAAATAAAAGCATTATTGCTGACTTTTTACACATTTTTTCAAGCTTAAAATAAAATAAATATGTTTCATGTATTAAATCTATTTAGTTCTATATCAAAATACTTCATCACAAAGTTGTTTTTAAGTGGAAGCAAGTAATTAAAAAAAATTATAATTTAATGTTCACCTTATGTCCATGTTAAAATTTAAAATAATATTCTGTGAATTCAAAATGTAATGTTATATAAAAAATATCAGTGGAATAAAGGTAAAGATTGTGTGATAAAAGTACTCTGTTGATGGAGTGGATTTTAAACAATATGATGCCTCTGAATGACACACAATAAAAATTAGTTTGAAATATATATCAAACAAAAATAAAAGTTTGTGATGCACTCTTTTGGTCTGTTGCTGTTCAGAACCACCTAACTCTTTAACTTTATTATAAAATATTAGTTTTTTTATCATGTAACCTATTTTTTTAAATTGTAGTATTTAGAACTGCTCAAGACTCATCAGAACAGACCTTCTCATTGTTTATCCATCTTGTGGGCTGTCGGACAGTGTGGGATCAAAAACTTGAAAAGTGGACTCAAAGGTACTGATAAAATTTTCAGAAATTCTTTTTAAGAATTAAGTCAAATCAGACATAACCCCGGAGACATCTTCTCAGCAAATTTGTTGCACTGTGAAGCTAAAGGCCCAAGAAAAGCACCCTACATTTATCCAATGTAACAGAGATTAAACAATTTCCTACATCTGTGAGGAGGGATCAGGTGGAATGATAGCAACCTTTCCTATTCCATGGAACTAGAGGGATCTTAGCAGATCTAGAACCACACAGTTCATCACTGGAAATTTGCCAGAGTAACATAATAGGGATAAATCACAAATTCTTGCTAATCATGAATCTTAATATTTAGCATATGTCAATTAAATACTGTCTATTTGATGTTCCATTTTTCTCATAGTATCTTGTGTGAATTTGGTTTTGATCTATTGACATAAATATCACTAATGAATGAAGGCACAGTCAGGCCACAGTCTGTTTACTTGCTTATGCCAAATAGGATTGATTGATTATTTTATTATGATTTTTGAGTCCTGAATATTTTTTTTTATTATGAATCCTGTGTCCTGTTTAAAAAATTCTTCATTTTATTACCTTCCATTATTTTGGTATTTCTTTGTGGACAGTATGGTTAGATCTGATGCTTCCAGCTCTGGAAATTCGTCAAGTGGCTCATTATCCTGTTGAATATTTGGAACAGCTTCTGGGGTAGATTTCTTTTTTTTTTTAAATTTAATATGCTAAACCTTGATCACGTTCTCATCAAAAATGATTATGGACCTAAAAACATAATGTAGGCAGTAATTTTTTAAGTGTAGAAAGAACAAGTATAAATTTATCAAGAAAACTAAAATTGCTTTATTTTAATTTTTAAATTTTATCTAGGCTTCTTTGATAATGTGTGATCTATCCTGGCAAATTGATTTGCTAAATATTTACATTCAGTGGAATTAAATTAAAATATTGTTTGATATCTTATTACATTAACACATTTAGTAGACATTAAACTCATTTCTGAATGTGTATGAAATAATTGTGGTAAATTTCTATTACAGATCCCATAAGAATGTCTCCAATGCATATGGCACTGTTTCTACTCGGGAATATTTTCAAATATTAGACATTGTGTTCAGTCCCAGTTTCAATCTCTCTGGTGATCTTCGCAAGAGGCTGATTGCACTTTATCCTCATATTAAGGTTTGTATCTTTGACTATTTAATATATTACCTCATGTCTTACTATTTGCATGTGTCCAATTAGATGGGAAAATAATATTTACAGTTTGTCATAGAAAACAATACATTCCAAAGAATGTATTTGAAGCATTTAATATTGAGAAATTATTTATTTCAATCTTAATTTTCTAATAGGAATTGGCTTTTGGCGAAACACCATCACAAAGTTTGAGATTGTTTTTTCCTTCATACCTGGCAAGATTCAACTCTTCATTGAACCCAGCCCTCAAATCTGAGGTAAAGACAATAAATCTTTGTTTGATCTGATGACTATTTGAGCTACCGGTACTCATCAGTAACATTTATAGATTTTCAAGCTAAGATAATTTGTAAATGTTAGTAATGCAAATATTATAATTGAAAAAATATTAAAAAATTTATACACCAATGATCTAAATTTATCCCCACAGGGGCAAATAAATTTGTAAGTTATTTATTATGGTTAATTAGTTCGTCTTGCTTAATTTTCAAAAGTTTCAATAAATATTACACATGCTTCATATTTCTTAGCTCTTGGATAGTATGGTGAAATGTCTAACAACTGATAAGCAGTCATTCAGTGTCTGGTGCCAGCTCTACACCAAACATCTGACTTCTTCAGGGTGAGTAGAGCTATTGTATTACTTTATCAAAATGCATTTTCAGGTAGTGGATGAAAATATGAAACTGACATTCCATTGTGATTGTACAAAAATTAAGACACTTCCCTAAAACTTTGCTATTTTATATCTTCAAGATTGCCATAAGATTTAACTCTGTATCAAAATTTTTATGAAAATTTTTGAGTATTAAAAAAACAACTTTTTAAGTCTTATTTTCTTTTAAAAGTAAAAATATATGTTTTGTAAACAACTGTTAAAAAACATATATTTTTTTTTTAAAAAGGCCTTTACAATAATTTGATTCAAAGTACTCCAGAATAAGATATTAGTACAATCATTTTACAAATATTTTACAGACATCTTCTTGAGCACATCAATCATGAATGGTTTCAACTGGCTCCTTTGTTTGACAAGAAGTTATTGAGAGAAACTGTGAGGTCTTTTTCTGTGACAAATGATGAATTGGAAACCCAAGGATGTATTAACAAGGATGGTTTGGGACTGTGTCAAGCTGCTACTAAGGTTTATTATTATTTTCATTAATTAGAGAGTTTAAACAAAACCAGTGGTTCTGTATCATCGGCCAGCTTTCCTGCCCTGCTCTTGCTTGAAGTAATAAATTAATATCATCAAATAGCAAAAACTCAGCTATTTCCCTTCAATGTATTAACAGAATATGAAATTTGGCTTGCCATCTTTCGATTGTAAGTTTGGACTGTGTATCATCACGTTTTTGTTTGTTGGGCATTAATAATCTTTTTTTTTTTTATTGCTGTCACCTTTATGTCATCTGGGCACTGAGGAATGTCTTTTTACATCACATCTATAGGAGCTGACTGGAAAAATGACAAAAAGTAGTTTCCCTTGGGGTCTGTTTATCTTCTTCCTAGTTTCAGTGGTTGCTTCCATTGTGGTTTTTGATATCTGGTCAAGTCCCAATCTTCACTGTAAGTAATTGCCTTAATTATCTGTTACAAGATTCACCAAGCTTCATGCTGGTATATTAAAACTTAGTTAATTTAATGATTTCCTTATGTTATAAACCTGATTATCGTACTGAATTTCAAAATTTAAATGATGCGAGGCTAAGAAACCTTGCTTTATTCATTCCTATGTTGTTTTTTTGCATGGAATGATTTCTTTACCTGTAGCCTCAAGAACCGTGCGCTTCCTTGAACATTATGGGATTCTGACCATTCTTGAACAAGCTTGGGGACGTGTTCATACATTTATAACTATTGCTGCTGAGTAAGTCGAATTTTAACAAATGTATTCAAGTAAAATTTTATTATTATTTTTTAATTTGCCATCCATATAATTTTTAGTATTTTACTTGCATATGCCTCTCTTTTGTCAAGCATTTCATTAATTAAAAATTTCAAAATAAATTTTAAGACTCAAGACCAAGAAAAAATATATTTAATTGTTCTTAACTCATTTGTAAATAGCTTTTAAAACTTAAATTTAAATTATAGCATATATATTTTTAGAAAGATTTATACCAGATAATGTATTTGTAAATATTTTAAACCATCCAACATTCTCTAGTAATTTTATGTCAAAGTCTTATGTAAAGTCTTGCTGCATTTGCTATCACTAATCCATCATAAAATCTGTATATCTATTCATTTTGTAAAAGACTGCAGAAAAGGTTTTTAAAAATTAAAATACATGTTTGTAATGATACAGTTGGCTTAAGATAAACTGCCCAGTGTACTATGCTTATGTGCGTGACACTGTCGGTCCATTCTTGGCCTACATCTGGATTGCAATTAAAGACTTTCTTGTGGCAACTGAGGTGACAACAAGACCTCATAGGGCTTGGGTTGCTGACAAGTCTTTCAGTTTTTACCACTGGGTATGTACTGAACAACTTATCCATTTCTATTTGGTACATGTAGATTTAAATAGTAAGCTTTCAAGTTAATGTCCCATTGTTGAAAATGGTAAGCTGAAATAGATTTTTGTACTGTGCTATAAAGTTATTCCATTGGGCAGTGATTCCTAACCTTTATGACCCTCAGAGCCCTTTTTAGAATCTATTTCAATTACGGTGCCTCTTATACCTATCCTATGTCTTAAAAGTTAATGGTATTTAGTAGTGTTTACTGGGGTAAGGAACGGCCGGCAGCCCCGAGAAGTGCACGCTGACTGAGCCCTTAGGACTCTGTTTGGCATAGGTTGGGAACCACTGCCATTGGGAATACTAAGGTAACATCTTTTATATATGGTAAAAGACCCACATTTTTAACATCTACCTTATTACACAAATTTCCCAGGTTTATGAGTTATCCCCAGAAACTTGGACATGGTGTTATGATGTCTCCATATTGACATGGGATGCAATAAAAGATTATACCTTATGGATCTGGAAACATTCAGTGCATCTGGCACAAGCATCTTGGCATTGGATTACAGAACATCTTTTAGTGTAAGTATTGCTCGATTTTACTGTACTGGAATAGGAATTTGGTAAATTAATTTTTTCCACATTGAAAAGATTTTTTATTTCTTATTTAGCTCATGGCTATTCTTTCAGATGGTCAGTAACATTTCTTGACCAGTCAGATAAGAATTCCTTTCTTTTAAATTGTAAATAGGGACCTTTTCACTAGGCTAAACTAGTTTTAAAATAAAACCGAATAAAACTCAGCTTTTTTTTTTTTTTTAAATCATACTTATTGTAACTTAAACAAATTATACCTTCCACAGTGGTACTCTTTCAAAGGATTCCCTTAAAGCAACAGCTAATTGGAGCATTTCACAGGTGCAAACATCTTTTGAAGTTTTTTGGGCGTGGTGCAATGCAAATGTTTTCACTTTCGTAAAATGATTGAAAACTAGACATTAATAAACCACATTTCCTGTAAATGTTGAAATTGTTGTCATTAAAAATTTCATGTAATGTAACTTATATCTTTTAAATTATGAAAATTTTACAGTAAGGACAGGGCTATTGCTCAGACTTGGGTATAAGACACTGTTGCTGAAGTGCAAGAACTTCTTTATTTTAAAAAGAAATAGCACCAAGTCCATTTGCACACTTACTGTGTAATGATACTCATATATTGATTAAAAAAAAATGTTGTTTTTTTGGGGGGTCATTTTATGCCTCATATTCTTGGACCTCACTTAAAATTAAAACAATATACTTGTATACTATTAAGTTGTCAAGCTGTTGATTCTGCAAAGATTTTTAATTCAGCCATATCAACAAGACCAAATTTTGACAAGAGCTATTCACTTATATTAGTTAACAGTGCATTAAGTTAAAAAATAATGCTCCTCTGTGTTTTTATTTGTTTTCGTCAGCATTTTTCAGATCAGTTATTTCTTTGCTATAAAAGAATCCATATTATTGGTATTTTGATTATGTTTTATTAACTGTTTGTACTATCAAAATTAATTATATCACTAATAATATAAAACATTTGAGAAACACTGCATTGGTGCATTTATCATGGATTGAAAACCATGTAGTAAATGATTAAAGTTAGGCGAGATATTAAAATACTTGATACTATTGTTTTTTTTTTAAATTCTAATAGTATCCACTGCTTTTTGTCATGTATTCAATATCTTTATGATTAAATATAATTTTTAATATTTAGAAATGCTGGTCAAGGTCAACATATGTACAAATTTTTAATTTCTATCAGTAGAATAATCATATTTATAATTAAAAAAAAGGAAAAAGAAATGGGTTTTAAGGTAAGGTAACATGCGTAGAGACTAAAAATACCATAGTTTATTTAAAATGGGCATTTCAGTTCCCATTGATAATTTAAAAATTATATGTTAAAAAATTCAGGTATCAACACAGACTCATAAGTAAGACATTTTAATATTTACTCTTAAGTTTGTGAAAAATCCATCTAAATATGGTAATTTCAATAGTCTCTTTGAATTTATATTCAAAAGGCAAGCCCCTTTGCTCACAACCTATTTCCAGCTATTAGAAGTTACATACCCGATTTCATAAAGTTTTTTATAGTGCTTATGAAATGAAGGAAAGAATTTTCCCTGCTTTCTCTGTCCTCTGTAAACAAATTCTTTTTAACAAAAGATAACCCAAGCTTATTGTTATTGTTACTAAATTTAATCATACATATTAACTGGGGGTGGTTAGCAATCAGTAGTGTACAACTCTTTGAGGTAATTTGAATAACCAAAGCAATTTATTCCATTCCCAATTTTGATGTTCATTGTTATATAATGCTAATATTCCTAGTCACTCTTTTAAGGTAAACAGTTTTGTTTAAACCACACCTAGCACCACACTTTAAGCCAGGGGCGGCCGACGCAGGTTACACGGGCCACGTTGATAGCAAGTTTGCAGGCTGCATAGCAAGTAAATTGTTTGCAGGCTGCATTTCATTACATCTTATAAAATAAATTGTAAAAAATAACACCCACTAAATACTGTGTAAAATTATTTATTCTTATGCACATAATGAAATGGTCAACAACAAAACAGAATAAAAGTTACAACTCAATAGTTAATGTGATGTCATTGCATCTTTACTCTGATCTTTTTAAAATTGATTTTTGTCAATTGAATGATAAATGAATAAGTTGATTTGTGATAATAAATAAGGCTGCAATATTTGACGTGGCGGGCCACGGGTTGGCCACCCCTGCGTTAAACAGCGGTGAGCCTATCATTTCTTCTAAAAAAAATAAAATCACCTGTAATGTTCAATTTGTGATAAATATGCTTATTTAGTTTTTTATCAATCGGGCTGGGTTTATTCTTTATGTACAAATATTTAATCCTTTCTGAACTAGGTAAATGAAATTAAAAGCTGCAATGGCTCCTCTTTTTTGTGATAATATTAATCAGTCTTTTTAAAAAAATGCTTTTTGGGGTAAGGGTCATCACCTTCATTACTAGAGCATTAAGACTCCAAAGCTAAACTATAAATTATGAAGAACTTTTTTCAAGCTTATTAAAGATTTGTAACTAGATCTGTTCCTCTATTAAACTTTACAATTGTGTCATTTATACCCTCCTCAGTCATGATCTTATTGTATTATTGTGATGGTAGAAATGTTTCCATAGGACCAACATATTTTGACAGCATACACACAAATGTCATGTTCCTCTCTATAATAAAACATTGAATTCAAAACATGTTTGTATTTTGTTATTTATTATTATTAGTTCTTTAATTATATTATTCAAATATTTTAACAACTGTAAACAATTCCAACTTTTAAAAAAGAATTGTCCTTTAAATAGTTCTTGAAAGGGGAAGTCAAATCTGAAATTGTGGTATCTTTCATAATGTTCAGTCTACATTTAACACTATATCAGCTTGAATAATAATTAATAATATCTTGATTTTTCTATCAGAATGTCTGTGACACAACTAAACATCAGGATGCTTTGGGCTTACCACCATTAAAAAATAGTGTTAATGTATTGTTGTATAAAATCTCTGACAGCTCCTCCTTGTTTTCATTACGTGCACTGCTCATCACCTCTAGAACTTGTCTGTCGGATTAAGTTATGCACATAATTAAACAAACAAAAAACAAAAGAATTCATGAATTGTAAATACCCGGTATATATGTTATTCAACAGATGGCAAGTGGTATTAAAGTAAAGAAATGATAATTTTTCAATGCTCAAGTGAATTTTATTCTTTTTTTTTTTATATAACTCAATTTACCAAAAGAAAAAGAATGAATAAATTGTAAATACCCGGTACATATGTTATTCAACAGTTGGCAAGTGGTACCAGGTACTAAAGAAATAATAATTTTTCAACGCTCAAGTGAATTTAATTTTTTTTTAATTACACAGTTTTATAATAATAATCACGTTAACAAATAAGGAATACTTACACAAGTGTGCATGGTTCATTTCTTGTTTTCACACAGAATTTAGGATCATATTTCTCTTTCTTTTTGGATTCAAAATGGGTGGTTATAAACTTATATCCAGCATGGGTTGACCTTATTTCACAGTATGGACAATCTGAAAAAATAAATATAGAATTTTATGGCAAGAAAGAGACCAAATCTCAATGTCCAACATATACAGATATAGTTTCCAAAAGACCCTATTAATGTTTACCATACATGAAAGTTAGCGTAACACTGTGATAGTAGGAATAATAATACCATTCATTATTTCACCAATTAAATTCCAGAGACTTAAACCCTCAATGTATGGAATAGAAAATAATGTATAATACACAGAATTCCAGGTTCTGTTTCTAAGAAATTAAAAGTAAAAGAATGATATTATTTGGGTATTTGATTGCACATTGGACTGAACATGTTAGAGCTTTAGAGAATGTCATTGTCATCAAGATATGTGAGCATAAAAATGAATCATGTAATTTATTTAATGAACACAGCTTTTTTAACTATACGGTCAAATGAAAGAGAAATTCTGCTTTTTTTTTTCCACCGAGTTTCAAAGGGGTGTGAAGCTAACTTTGTTTTGTATGTTTATTTAAAGAAATAAAATTATTATTATGAGAAAAAGGATTTAAGTTATAAAAATTAAGTTTTAAATAAATTATCAATTTTTTTTAAACAAAATTTATTTTTTAAAAACACAAGCGAGACGAGTTTACGTCATCCATTTTGTTATCTTCTCGCGACTTGAATTGAGCTAGACATTTCAATAAAAATCATTTTTGACATCCAAAATGAGTGTAGAAAAACCTGAAATTGACTTAGATGAATCCCTAAAAAAATTGACTCTTATGATTGGGATACAGATGAATGTGAAACAACATCGGATGAAGACATGGATGTTTCTTTACCTACACTAGTACAGTTTCAAATCATGTAAGCCTTGGTATCAACATGATAAAGGCTATAACATTAACATTTCTAAATAATCTGAACAACAAAACAAATTGTGCAATTAAACAAAAGGATCCTATTTATGGGACAATTTTATTTTCCAATCGTTTTTTGGCTTTAAAATAAATATATTGTTTTACATGATCATCTTATAAAACGGCTAATTTTACTTTTCATAGTTGTTTTTGTGTTTTGCCTAACTCTAATGAGTAAACAATGGAAGTTATTAATTTATTCTTTTTAAAATATGTTTTTATGGGTTTATTTCATATAGCCTTATATTTAAAATACATTTCTTTCTCTAATCAGTGCGTATAAAAAATGGGCTAATTTCTTTTGAGGCCCACGGATGCTACTTCCAAGCTAAGTGCTATTTCTTATTTTTACTTTTATGCCGTTTTTTTCTGTTGTTTCGTTCACTGACGAAGGCTTTCTGCCGACACGTTCGTTTTTTGTTACGTTTCTTTTTTCAGGTTTAAACCTACTCTGTTTTTCTCATTTTATATTGTGCTTACCTGATTGCAGTCTCTCCCCTTATTACCCTAAATCCAGGTAAGGAATATTGGATATTATAATTGAAGAATATTTTTTGCAAAAAAAATGTCACTTCACTTATCCTAACATTATAAAATAATTTATGTTAATAAAACTGTTAAACTATTGTTATATCTGTGTTAGATCAATAAAATCCTGCTTTTATGTTATGCTAACCTGCAATTTACAAATAAACTATCTTCCAAAGGAAATTTCTTCAATCCCTTTTTCTGTAAAGAGATCAAGTTGAAAATTTGGAAATAAATCAATGCTTATTTCTACCACAAAAGAGCAGAAAAAAAGTACCTCTATACTAACTGGAAGAAAATAACACCTACATAACTCTACATTTGCTTTTCTTTACTTATGTACACTGACTTGAAAAGAAAGAGCATCAGACTGTAATGGTACTTAAGTGTTTGAAATATGATATACAATTCTGTCTAAGTAAAATGATTGTTTATTGTTAGATCATCCCCTAAGCTTAAAAGATTCTTAGACTTTATTTGTTTAGGCCTGATTTTTAGTCAATGAAGCTCTAGCTTTATTATAATTATTTTTCTATTTATTTAATTTTTTTTTAAATTGTAATAATTTTTTTTTTAAATTATTCAAATTAGTTTTTATAATGTATTTAAATGTATTTGCTTTAAATATTGAAAAAATAGGTTTTAAACTTTGTTCACTTATCTAAATTTAACCACAAAAACACTATTTATGCATGTTTCACAAAAATTGAAAAAAAAAAAATCTAATGGTTGTATTTAAAAAAAAATTTTTTTTTATTTTGATATAATATTGCAGAATTAAATTTTCACATATCAAATCATGATTGTTAAAAAAAAAATGTTAAATCATTTTCAAGCACATTTTATCAAATATGATCCCCCATTCATTTCTGAAAAATTAAAAAAAAAACATTTTGGGTTAAATACTTAATTACTCTTTTCATGGTATCCTATTATATGAGATGACCTTTAAAAGAAAAAAAAAACACTGGCTGAGCAGTTAAAATTAACGTTATGTCCCAGATTACCTGTTTCTATCATGAGCCTGTCACTAGGTATTGAACACATAACATCAATATTATCTTGAGTCTTCAGTGAACTAAAACAAAGAATTACTATGTAATATTTCAGTTAAAAACAAAACATTAAAAGCAGATCTATTCGGGGGGGGGTGGGGAGTTCAGTTCCCCCATCCCTTCTTGTAGTTTATATTAATTATTAATATCTAGAAGGCATTTTTTTTTTTTTAAACATTTATTTTGCCCTATAATTATATGTAACTTTTTTCTCTGCCGATGAGCAATTGTCAAAACAATAAATGGAATTTTTTTTAAATTACACCTTTTATAAATATAATTATTTCAGGAGGTCAAAAATAACTAAATTTACTCACCATCCATTTATCCCTATATAGAAATCCAAGTCTAAAATTGATGCAGCTTCATCTTTGGTACCCGTAAAAGAATGTACCTGACACAGAAAAATTTAGTTTAACATTAATGAATAAATTAGATAAGTTGTTACTGTTTAATTGGGATCACTTTTTTTAAAATTATATTTCAAAATAACATAAATATTGTTCCACTCCACCTAAAACAAAATTTAGAAAATTGTGTTTCCTATTGTTGTTGACATAAATTCATTTCATTTTTTAAATAGTCTATCATTCAAATGGATGTACAAATGAGAAGAAAAAAATTTCTTACCACTCCACCTGGTATGCTGTCCCTATGTTTTGAGAGGATGGACAAAAACTCTGGGTGGGCTGCTCGACAGTGGAAAAAAACAGGCAACTTTGTGCCTGTGATTAAATTCATCTGTTTTTCAAAATACCTTTTGGAGAAATGGAAACAGTGTAACCAACTGGCTAAAAAAAAAAACAGAATGGATCTAGAGCTCCATCATAATTCTCACATTTGCCTCAAGAGCACACAAGTAAGCAGTCTAGATAGACTGATTGAGGCTAAATTTGTCAAACAGAACTACATGGATTGTTCTCTACCGTTTAGCTGCAGTCTATCTTGCTGCAATTGTCTGAAGTTATCTATCTGAAGTTATAGGTGTTGTATTGAAAAGTGGTTGCAAGCTGCTTAAATGCTATTAGTGAGATAAATAATAAAAAAAATTGTGAGTTAATGTATGTGTTAAACGCTGGCAGCATGTAAGTGTGGATACCTACTTCATTTGTGCTTCTTTGGGAGCAAAGTTTAGTCTGTCAAAGTCTGAAAGAAAGAAAAAATTAGAATCTAAAATATGAGTTTGTTTTAAAAAACTAACTGGGAAATTATCACTTACAATAGTTCAATAAACAAATTTCATTCACATTTCAGAAATGTAAAAGAAACGGGTAAACAACCAGACAGTATAGTTACAGATAAATGGTCAAAGTTTTAGTTCAAAGAAAAAGTGGTCCTTCTTTTACTTCCAAAAATAAAACTGCAGGTTTCATTACAATACCTAAAGTTTTCATTAAACCACCAAGGCTTTACCTAGTCCCATCTCTCCAACGGCTACTACTTTATCCTTGTTGTTATTCGCCAAGTTAATAAGTTCTTGTAAGTAAGCATCAGGATCCTGGCCATCGTTTTCAAATTCAAGAGATCTTGTAGGATGACATCCAACTGTGCAGAAAAGACTATCTGTAAATAAGTATTAAATTCAGTGTCAAAATGTATATCACATCTTTGTTATGAGCCCTTCATCAATTTTATTTTTCTTCCTAGCAATTCAGCTTCTGTTATACAAATCTGAAACCAATAACAGTAGTGGGGCTTACAAGCTAATATATAATATTAATATATGTTTAAAGTATATAATTGAATTCCAGAATTTAAGGCAATTACTAGTCAAATTGTCTAGCCAAAGTTGGCTGACCTCTTCTGAATATGTGGTTGAGTTTTCTTTTTACTCAGGGTAAAACCTCTCCATCAAGAAAAGCCACCTTACTAAAGATTTCATTCCACCCATTTTGTTCTCAAACAGTATACTCTAGTTGAGAAGAACATTTTATTCTTTTTCATTTTAACTTTCATTTTCTATTTGTCATTTGTTGTTGGCTGAAGTAGGCTTTTCTGCTGTGTCATTTTGTTTATCAAGTTTTCACTACTGTGTGTTTCTCATTTACATTTCATCCAGCAATTTACCCAGAGAAAAAGCTGAACCGCTAACACTTGCTATAGAAAAGTTACCATTGCAAATGTGTTTATAAATTATCCATTAATTTCTTCTTACCGTCCAGTTTTGTCAGATTTAAAGCAGTTTGTGAATCTTTTAAAGACCCTCCAGTGATAATAATCTGTGAACAAAAATTTTAAAGGAAATACCAGTAATTAGTATCAAATTAATTGAAAATTTAGCTCTTATTTTTTTTAATTTGCAGTTAAATATTGAATAGAACTTTTTTTTATAGATAAAGTATATAAAAATTCTTGAAAAAGGAAATTTTTTAGGTATAAATTTAAATAAATATATTTGTACTGTTTTGAAATTTTATAGGAGTGGCGCACTGAATAATAGTTTAATTGGTAAATAAAATGTAAATTTAATGACAATAATTAGATATCATGAAGGCAAACGTAACATTTTATTATGACAAGGTCCTAAAGATATTTCTATTTTATCTTTTCTAGGCCTAAATATTTACTCACCTTTTGTACTCCATGTTCTTTAGCTCTGTTGACAACATGAATGAGGTCATCTGAAATTTTTATAAGAAACCTGAAGAGGGCTGTTAGCGTCTGACAAACTTACACCAATACTCAAACTTTCATCTCTGTTAATGCATTCAATGTGTAGAAGGAAAATTAATATTTTTTATCAGGGAGTAGACTTATGGATCCATTTTTGTTTTAGATCCTCCTCAATTTTTTGCCACTGTAGGCATGGAACTTTTTGTAAGTTATGGTGTTGATAAATATCATAAATATTAATTTGATGAAAAATAAAATTTAGCAGCAACATCAGTTCCTATCAGTTCTTTCTTTTTTCTTATTGATTTCAACTAGCATAGAAACTACTCAGAAATATATAATACCTTCATGAACTTTCTTGCCATGGTAACTACCGTGATAAACTGAATCTGAAAATACAAATAAATAAAGTTGCATTTTCTATGGGTTGTTAGAAAATTAAAAATTTATGCTATGAAAACTTTTCTAACTAATGATGTGAAACATTCATTACTGGTAAATTATTTTAATAAATAATTTTAAGAATTTATTACTTTAATAGTGACATGAGTTTGGCTTTTTTGTTTTGTTTAAGCTAATAAACTATATCTTTTCATGCAACCAGACTTTCTTGGAGTTTTAATATTTGAGAAAATACCAAAATTAAAATTTTAATGCCTATCGGAACTAGACCAGACATTTCACGAAAAATTCTATATTGAATCTACAACACTAAAATAATTTAATTTAATAAATTGTAAGCAACTAATGACTAGATTGATATTATTACCAGATAAATTGGCTCCAATGTCTATTTCATTTCATAGTCATCAAGAGAATTTTAGAGCATGTTAAGAGAAAAAAAGAGAAATACTTAAAATACATACATAATATTATAAAATTAAAATATAAACAGTGCCTGATATCGACCTGCAGAGGCTTCTTGACATTCAAAATTTTCCCTCCCCTCAATGGTGTTATAAAGGGGGTGTGAGAAGGAGGGAACCGGTCCTGTCTACTTTTTAGAGTTTATATATAAGCCAAACATTATATAAATCCATGTGTAATGGGGATGGGTGGATCCCTTTTTCGATTTCACCCTCAAGCAGCATTTAGTCAAGATACGCAACTGCTCCCCCCTTCGCAAATTAGCCATTTACTTCACTTTGAGGTCAAGTCAACATATTGTTAAATATAGTGACTGAGAAATGAAAAGTCATTTTGTTTGACATATTTGGTTGATTATTGGCTTTCAACATTAGATGACAAAGTACTTTTTATTCTACTCATCCCTGCAATCAAAATTCTGTATTTGATAATTACAGTTTTAGAAAAAGTTTACGACTTGTGTCATATACTCTACTTTTTCGTTTCTCCCCTTAATTCTATATTCTATAAATTTTTATGTATGGAAATGCCCATAATTCGAGTCCAAGATCAAATCAAGTTCCCACCCTGCAAAAAAATTGGATCCCTTGTGGCTCTTTGTGTTAACCTGGCACTGAATACAAATAATGTATGGTAACTAAAAAGATACAACTTCAAATGGCAATAACTATCAATATTTAATAAATTTTAAAAATGAAAATAAATACTAATTTTTAATAGGGCTCTAGTATTTTTAATTTGACATTCTGTACATAGGCCCACAGCTTCCACTCATGGTGCATTAAAGATAATATCATTCTATTAGTCATTAAAATTTTATATGATCAATGGTTTACTTGTTTTGATTATTAATGATTTATTATATAGTACAAAATTGTTTATTGCCAGATTGAAGTTTAAATCAGTAGGCTTAAACTTAAACAGAAAAAGCATAGCTGTAAAAAAAAAAAATTGCTAGCCTATTATTTAAAAAAATTTTAAAAAAAGAAGAAAAAAAAAAGAAGGGAAGCAAATCTCTTTCTATCTTTACCTAACATGACTTTCTCATTTAAAATGTTCTATTTATTTCCCAAATACTTTTCTATGATTTAAACTTTTAAAAAATTCTCATGACATAAGATCATGTCTTTGCTTTGGACTTGAATGGTACAAATATCTGTTATAATATAGAGCTTCATGCGTGACGTCTGAACTCTGGTAATAGGTTGATTTTTTTTACTTTAAGGGGAGGCAACTATTATTCTGAGTTATTGTTCCATGTTCCTCTACTGTCACACAGCAAGCTTCAAGAGTAACCTCTGAACTCTGGTAAATAGGTTGATTTTTTACTTTAGAAAGGAATTTTTCTTTTTTAAATGTCACTGTTTTTTCACATCTTTTTTCTGGGGCTGCACACCACACAGAACTGAGTCATGGGATGTCCTTTCACTGCAGGCAAGTGTGCGCATGCGAGTCTTTTCTGTAGCCTGGTACAGGAAGGTATTGCTATTTTCATTTTACTGCGACTGTTTTTTCATAAGTCTTTGTTATAAAAAAAATGACAGTACCTACTCTGTCTATGGTTTTTGTACAACGTCATCTCTATTCCGGAATACAGCAACTGCCTGTTCATATCAGTGGGTTGTTTCTTGACACAAAAAAGTTGATGAGGGTAATGCACTCTCACTACACCATAGGGCAGTAGATTTTGTTGCATATTATAATTATAGAAATGAGAAGTTAACTTTTTGTAACACTTGTACACACAGGGTATTTTCTCAAAAACCAACAAACTGCACCCAGTTAAGTCCTAGTACCAAATGATAGAACTAGAAAAGATGCAAATAAAAGTAGTAAGTAGAAAAGAGTTAATTATTGTTAACTAGAGCTTAACAGGGTAGAGTTTTTTTTACACCAGGTCCAAGTATTTGGAGAAATAGGCCTACAGACAGTCCTACACCCTACCTGCCAGCCTTTAAACAATAGACCTACCGAGAGTCCTACACCCTACCTGCCAACCTTAAAACAATAGGCCTACAGATAGTCCTACATCCTACCTGCCAGTCTTTAAACAATAGGCCTACTTACAGTCCTACACCCTACCTGCCAGTCTTTACACAATAGGCCTATAGACAGTCCTACACCATACCCATGGCTTGTTATCGCTTAATATAATTGTCACCATCCTTAAAATAAATAATTTTACTCCACATCAAACATGACAGCCTCTTTTTTCATGCACTACTATTAATATAAAATATGTGAAGTTGGGTGGAGGGCGGTTTCAAAAAGGAAGCAGGACACACCAGAAGCAAAATATATATATATATATATACCAGGGCTTAACCAGGTGCAGTTTTTTTCACACTGGGTCCAGGTATTTTGAGAAAATACCAGGTGTGTCCAAGTGTTATAAAAAAAAAAGAGTTCATTTCTCATTTCCTATAATATATGCCCGCCTTTACTTTAAACAAAAGGTCTACAGACAATCCTACAACCTACCTGCTGACCTTTAAAGAATAGTCTTACAGTCGGTTCCACTTAATACCTGTGGCTTTTTATTGATTAATATAATAGCCACCTACCCTAATGAAAAAATATTTACCTGAGTGCACACATCAGGCATGACAGCCTTTTTTGTCACTCATTACTATTAATATAAAACATGTGTTGTTGGGGGGAGGGCAGTTTTGAAAAGGAAGCAAGACACACCAGAACCAAAATATATATAAGAGATTTTGAAAATGATTTTAACTGAAAGTGTTCTTAACTTAAGTAAGTACAATTTGATCTTTTTTATTGGTTTCTATGGAATACGACTATACGTTGGGTAAGCTTTAAATTCATTATCATGTATGTGTACTGTTAAATCATGGTGACCAAGGTGCACCAAAAAATTAATTTAAAAATTTTTGGGGGGGGGGGGGGGTGTTAAAAATTGCATGCAAGGACCAGGCACCAACATTATGAGGGCATCAAATCTGATATTATCAATATCAGTGAATGTGAACTAAGCAGTTGCTTCCAATCGGGAGTGACTCCAGTCCTCAGGTATAGTATAGAGAACAACATTTCACTCGAAACTGAAATAATCTAATTTTATTTTGGTTATAATTCTTAAAAACATAAGTATAAGATTAAGTAATTAAGTATAAGTATAAGTAAGGCATGACTTCTCGTCTCTGCCATGACCCACACACCGAGAATTTTCCCCATGTGCCAAAGGTCTAGGAGGGGGGGGGGGTGAGTGAGTTGGCTTCCACCACTCAGACCCCCCTGATGGACTGATCATTTCAAATCTAAGACAAACTATGCATAATTCCCGTAACTTGTAATTATAGTTTTATTACCAATTAATTTAAGACCTAGATTGCCGGTACTTGCCATTTTTAGTAAACAAGTAAATATTTTCATTATTGCCAGATTTTTCGCACACGTATAAAACAAGCGAAATTTTGTACTTGTAATAGAAAACATTTATTTTGTTTCTTTCCGCTTAAAATTAAATAAATTACTAATTTTTTAACCAATTAAACACAGCCTACTTTTTCCCCGTATATAAGAACTTAGCTTCTTTTTTTATACCTCATAATAATACGATTTTGTGGAATGTGTTAGTAGGCCTACACCTTAAATTTCACTGTGCTCACACAAAAAACACAAGAGTTATAATTAACCTATGACATCCAACATGCACTCCTCGTCAGAACTCGTACACAGTTGTTAGCTTTTACAAATTCACAGACTTGTTAAATTTGAGTAGGCCTATTCTGGAATTGTCATGTTCATTACTACATTAAAAGCAAGATGTATTTAGTGTTTTCATATTTAAATTTAGGCCCATGATTCTATGATTCTAATTAGCATTTATAATTTAGATCAATTTAGGCCTAGCGATTTTACGACGTATTAAATAGTTAAATTCGTCATTTATCATCATTGTTGGTTTTATTAGGATTATGTGCTAACGAAAGTAATAATATTTAACACATGGTATTGATAATGAATTTTTTTTTTTTAATTTATTTATTATAGGCTAATATTGTGAGTAGTTTAAGATCCGGTTTTTAGACTTAAAGCTCCTCACAGAGTGAAATCAAGGAGACATTTGGCATACAGATGAATTGACCATGAACTCTGTAGGCCTACTTTCAACATGGCTACGTCTTTCGAGAATTCAAACTTATTGTTCGCAATCTTCTTTACATATATTGTAATTAAAGCAACAATTTCCCTTACACTCGGGCACCCAGCACAAGATGTTAAAACAATGAAATTCAACATCCACTTTACCCATGCTGATGAAAATGGCATTGTTTTGTTGTCAGAGGGTGCCAGCGAAAATTTCATATTAGGGCTTATAGAACTAGAAAGTTCAGCCCACAACTTGGAAAATACCGATTGCTTCACAGACAGTGAGCACGTAGTAGCTCGACGAGCAGGGAAGATGTTGTTTAAGATCGAGCTCAATGGACGAGTGGACAGGGAAAACCAAACTGAATTTGTGGTGAGCATTTATTGCAGCTACGGCCACACACACAGGACCAAGGCGGAAACTTTTACTGTTCGTGTTCTCGACGCAAACGACAATCCTCCCGTTTTTTACCCTTCCGTTTACAGCGTGAACATAACCGAGGGAGTGGACGTTGGTCACTTGGTCGTTCGAGTGGAAGCACACGATGTAGACCTTGGTAGAAATGCTAAGTTTAAGTATTCCCTCTCGGGATTTGCGGAAAGTAACGATAGTTCTTTTGCTTTTAAAATAGACCCAGATAACGGGGACATTGTCACCAATATGGACATTGACCGAGAAGACGTGGCTGTGCATACATTGATGGTGTTGGCCACCGACCAAGGTGTCCCACCAATGACTGGCACTGCTCGCGTTGTCATTACAATAACTGACGTCAACGACAACGCACCGGTGATCCAAACAAAAGAGTTACACGTGCGAGAAAATAAACCAGCCCAGTCTGTCGTAGGAACACTACGGGCAGTTGATGGCGACACGGGGGAAAATGCGGAAATTATTTTCATCAAAGTGAACATGAGCGAAAATGTGCCGACGAATCCATTCTTACTGAACGTCAACGGCCAAGTCTTGACTGCAGATCGGCTTGACAGGGAGAAAAGATCCCAGTATTCGTTGGTAGTCGCCGTCAAGGACAAGGGCTCTCCACAGCACAGCAGTACATCAACAATAACGATAACCGTGGATGACGCTAACGATAACGCACCAGAGGTCACCAGCCCTTGTCTTTCGTATAGTGAAGATTTTATAATGGGTGAAAGCGATTGTTGTCCTGGAGACGTGAACGCCAACGGTTCTGTGGTCATCGACATGTACTGCCCTCAAAATGACACAATTATTTATCAGGTGGTAGCCGTAGACGAGGACATTGAGGAGAACGCCGCTCTGGTATACAGTTTAGAGTCTGTTGACAATGGCCGCCACCGTCCCAGTGACGAGCTTTTGTTCAAAATAAACGAGAGTACCGGCGTTGTCTCTTTGCGTCGCTGCGCCTATCGAGGTGAAGATCTCGTGCATACGCTCCGTGTGCGCGTGTCTGACTCGGGTCTCCCAAGGAAATCAGCTGTCTGTTTTCTAAACGTGACACTTGACATTGATCCGTTAAAACTTCCTTACTTCAAGAACGCCATGAACACTGGAGACTCTAGATTTTCATTAATGGAAGTCGTCTTGTTGTTGTTTTTTACATGTTATTTCCTTCATATTTTGAATAATGATATACATAATGTTCCTAAATAATTGGTCATAATCCGGATACGTTATAGTGTGTTAGGATCCATTGGTTAAAACAAGCACACTGTGTTTTTAAAAATCAACATTATGATTGATTTGAAAATAAATATTTAAAAATGTCAAATTGGCCATTTTTCAATAAGCTATGTGTGTGTAGGTGGATCAATGGGAAAACAAAATGAAAGGGTTTTCAAAACAAGAGGACATAGGCGTTAAGGAACCCACGGTTTTGCGGCTTTTAAAATGATACAACATATTTATTTTTTTTAAACGAGGATTCAGAAATTTCTTGTTAACTATCAACTCAGTTCCACTTCTATTTAGACGCCGAAAGGCTCATTGACTCAAAATGCTAAGCGAGAAAAAAATATGTTGTCTTTATTCCTAATTGATTGAAATTGAAAAACAACGATAATCATTTTTTTTTTAAAGTAATAAAATAGATTTGTTTTTAACCATGACACGCCATTTCTATCATAGTTCTTTAACTTTAAGCAATTCAGATCCTTTCGTGTAGGCAAGTGGTTCTCAACCTTCCTAATGCCACGACCCTTTAATATAGTTCCTCATGTTGTGGTGACCCTTAATCTTACAATTATTTTTTGCTACCCGGAACTCATAAATATGTGTTTTCCGATGGTCTTAGGCGACCCTTGTGTGAGGGTCGTTCGAAACTCAAAGGGGTCGCGACCCACAGGTTGAGAACCGCTGTTGTAGGCCCACATTGCATGTGTCTTGGGTCAACTATCTGATTTTTTTTATATAAGTAAGCCCAGTTTTGCGTACGTGGCGGCGGAACTGTCTAGAAAGTTCCTAGTCAAGTCCACATATTCCAATAACTTGCCTCCAACAAACTGGAAATAAATTCACATACAAATGAGTACATGAATGTGATGGTCCCTGTCATTTTTCATAACTTGTATTGTAAATTATAATACTAAATTATAATACTAAATGTGATATTATATTTATTAAAATAAACTTAATAAATCAAATAATGAAGCTCTCTAAAAGTCATCCTTAACGTCATGGTCTTCTAACGTCATGGTCATCCACAGATTTCTTATGATGAAATGTTTTATATTCACTAACAACATGAGATTTCACGCGATGTCTATGCATGCTAATATAGACTTACATTCAGTATTAATTGTGTTTATAGGTTCTGTTCGTTTCTTTTAAAATTATAAAGACCTTGAATACAATATGTTAACTTACGTAGTTTTTCAAAGCTGATTATTTTGTTTGGGCATGTTAAATAAAAAAAAATAACAGAGAGATCACAAGACATGAAAGAGTTCAACAAAGTATTGTGGTCAGGTATGAAATATCTTGGTGCTAAAGTAGGCCTATTTTTAGGCTATTTAAAGAATATCTTGAAATGTCTTATACATTAAACTTTTATAGCTGAACCTGGTGTTGTTATTTATACATACGGATTATATTATCATATTATAGCCATCCTTCAGTCTTTACGAGACGATGGATTAGCTATTGATACTCCATCAATTGGCTTACGGAGCCGATCCTGGAATGGCAGTCTAGACTGCACTTCTCGCAGTAGAGAACCTTGACGCTCTGCTTAAATTTGGCCTTCCGTAAATCTCATTTTGTAGCATCCGGTTTGTTATGCGCATCTTCTGCTTATATTTGACTCATTGATACACTGCTAGAACGGTTCTCTACGACGATCTCCTATTCATTGATTTCTATGCTGGCTTCCCTCATGCTCCTTTCGCAAATATCGTTAAATCGCGGCGGCCCCTTCTGCCAACTCTCCATACATCAGACCCTTTGGAATATGGCCTTCCTCTATTCTCCTAACATGGCCTAACCAGCGAAGGCTCCTCTTGCAAAGTGCGGAGAACATACGACACATTTTGGCACATTCCATAGCCTTTTGTGTCAGGCACCTTTTAAATAATATTATCATATTAATGTTGTACAGTCTCCATTTAGTGGGCTATTTCAAGGGATTACAGCTAAGAACGAATTATTGATGCGAAATATATTTATTAATAATATCCATCTAATCTGTGACCTTTTCTTATACTTATCTGGCTTAGCCGAATGTACTGCATACATTTGAAGTCATTGAAATTTAGCTAAGTCCCTTATTTAAACAAGCCAAAAAATATAAATGGTCACATTTTCTGTCAACCCCCCCCCCCCACAAACAAAAAAACCAACAAAAACAACAAAAACAAATTCTTTATATGTATATTTTATTTTTGAAGTTATGGGCATGCATGCCAACCTGTAAGTGTAAGGTTTTCACTTACTTTATACAGTTTTTATATATTTGTCGAGGTTTACAGGCTCTACAGGCTTTTGTGGGGGTTGTCAGCGGATTTGGAAGATACCTATTTTTGCACAAGACACACGTTCAAAGTTGGTGGTGCAATAAGCTCAATGGTGTACAACGGGGAGCCTAAATCTCAACAGTGTACAACGGGGAGCCTAAATCTCAACAGTGTACAACGGGGAGCCTAAATCTCAATGGTGTACAACGGGGAGCCTAAATCTCAATGGTGTACAACGGGGAGCCTAAATCTCAACAGTGTACAACGGGGAGCCTAAATCTCAACAGTGTACAACGGGGAGCCTAAATCTCAACAGTGTACAACGGGGAGCCTAAATCTCAACAGTGTACAACGGGGAGCCTAAATCTCAAATGTAGAAACTGCTCGGTGTTTTTGATAGCGCTGATTAAGACTTAGACAGCGACGGTATTGCCGTAGTGACTACACAGCGTATTGCCGTAGTGACTACTTTGAGAAGAAATTAGCCAACACATTTTAAATTGACTTAACATGGCTATCAATGACTAGCATTAGTAATTATCCTGCTATTTATCCTTACGGCATGGCTTAATTTAACGCAGCGGTTCTCAACCTGTGGTTCACGACCCCCTTGGGGGCCGAACAACCCCCTCCCAGGGGCCGCCAAACATACAATCGGAAAATAAATATACTCTACAGTTATGAAGTAGCATCTAAAATAATTTTGTGGTTGGGGGTCGCCAAACTTGAGGAACTGTAAGGGTCGCGGCACTAGAAAGGTTGAGAACCACTGATTTAACGTGTTGATTGTTTTGAAAACTATAGCAGGTGTAATCTTCTTCGTTATACGTTAGTTTAAACAGAAATTAGGTTGAATTCTAGGCTATGTTATTTAATTTTTAAAAATTGTTTTTTTTTTACTTCAGATGGAAACTTCCAATTAACATATATCCACATAGCGCATAAAGTTTAAAAAAAAAACCAAAAAAACTTCTATCCTTATGTTATTTTCTTCTAGTACAGTAGCGTTCGGGGGAAAATGAGATTATACGTTGACGGTAAACTAACCTCAATACCTTTGTCAAGGCTGAATCGACGAAATGATATTGCTTTAATTTACATATATGAATCTGTATAACTAAAGCTAGTATAAGTAGCCGAAGAGCTATGTCTAATTAATAATCACATCTAAATTGCTATCTAATTTGTTATCATTTTACCCCCTCCCCCTTGTCAACAATTGTCTAACATTTCCGACCCCCCCCCTTTATTTTGTTGACATAATTAATGGACACCCCTTAAATTTAAAAAAAAAAACATTGACAAGACTATACTACCACTAATCCATACTGCAGGGGAAGGGTGGGGAAAGAGCTTTAATCCCTCTTCATGGCAAAGGCTATCAACACAATTTTAAAATTAAAGAGTTGACCAATATTAAGTTAATACGCGTAAATGGTCTTAAAACAACCCACAACTTATTAACCTTTATTGTACAAACTCAGCGTTAATGATAATTTTATAAACTTTATGGAAGAAAAATGCGAATAATTTTTGTGAGGTTTTGTTATTTTGCTAAAAGGTGGGCTAGCCTTGAACCTCTGTTCTAAGCATCATCGATGACTACTTGATAATTTCTTTACTGTTCCTTGTTTTTCTTCAAGTATTGTGTCACTTAAGATTGTTTGATTTCTTTTATGATTTGCATATTTTCAAATATGTTCTATTACTATTCCCATTTTAAATAACACTATGTTTACAAAAGCCGCACACACACGTGGTTGATCAGACCATTTTCAAAATTAAATTCATTGAATCGTTCGATGATTCGGTTGTGTCCTGGTTCTCTATTTTATACCTCATTACAATTTTGTCTACTCAAAGAAGCTTGCTACACACTTAGGAATTTGGGGCCATCTATACATTGATAAGTTATAGCCCATTTCTTACAAGCAAACAACTATTTTACCGCTTTATTCTTCTATTTTGGTAAGCGGGCTATTTTGAGGTCCCTGGGCTCCATAACGCCATAACCAATGATTATGATTCAATCTCAATCATGTATTTTTTATTCTGGCTATCATCCGCTATGGATTTTACTGGGAATTTATTATAATGTTAACATACCAGGGCTTAACCAGATGTATTTTTTTACACCTTGTCCAGGTATTTTTGAGGTTTTAAAAAAAAAAAAAAAAAAAGAGTCAACTTCTCATTTTCTATATATTTCTTAATATGCAAAATCATATACTGCCATATGCCTATGTCATAGTGAGTGCATTGCATTTGTCAGCCGTTTGTGTTTAAAAATAAGCCATTGAAAGGACAGGCAGTTGCCATATCTCGGAATAGAGATGCCGTAGTACAAAAAACTTCAACAGAGAAGATACTGTAGTTCATTTTATAACAAAGACTTACGTAATGGTACGAAACAACAGTTATGTATTAATTATGTAACTAGCAAAACCTCCTGAAAGGAAAAGACTTACAGGTGCACACATGCCCAAAGTGAAAAGTTGGCCCATGACTCAGTTCTGTGTGGTGTGCCCCAGAACAAAGATGGTGCACCTATAAATGACATCACACTATTTGAAATACGAACACCCCCCCCCCCCCCCCCCCCCCCCATTGTGTGGCTTTAATCTATGGATGGCCCCTATTCCTACATTTCCTAAGCATATCTTAAACTGCTCTTAATGCAAATAAATTTTAGGGCTTTATTAATGTTAAATAGGGCTAATGGTTGATTTTTATAAAATTATAATTTATTTATTTTTTAATGTGTTTTTCAGCTAAACTCTAAAATATCTTATGGCTCAAATCATTGAATCTAATGCCTACCTCAAGTTGGAAGATGGGACTGTTTTTCCTGGAATATGCTTTGGGGCTCCAAGGAGTGTAGCTGGAGAAGTTGGTATGGTTACATTTCTTCTAAAGGATATAAAATAATAATTACAAATATCTCAGTTATATTTTAAAGGTTACCTAACTGAACTAATTTTGTTTGTTTTTTTAATTTAAAGTATTCCAGACTGGGATGGTTGGCTATCCTGAATCCTTGACAGATCCTTCATACCATAGACAAATATTGGTTTTGACCTACCCACTTATTGGGAATTATGGCATTGGAGGGGATGAAACTGATGAATTTGGATTGCTGCATTGGTTTGAGTCTTACAAAATTCATGCTGCTGCTTTAATCATTGGAGATTTGACAGAGGAATATAGTCACTGGGGGGCAAAGAAATCACTTTCTGAATGGATGAAGGAGCAAAACATACCAGGAATCTATGGTAATATAAAATAATGAAATAAACATTTAGGAAACAAAACGTTAAAAAAAGCAGGTAAAAAATCAGTTATAAATAATTATAACAGCCATTATTAATAATGCTAATAAACGAAGAACATAACGGTTGAACATTTCATTTTTGTTCTTGATTCATAAATGATACAAAATAAAAATTCTCAGGTTTTTCAATTTACTATGGTATCAATGAAGTCCCATGTGTCACAATACACTTAAAGATTATTATTAAGCATAAAAGAGATAGCGTTTATGTTATGAAATAAATTTTTAATATGCGATTTGCTGCAGAAATTTGAAACAATAATTCATTTATATGTTGAAATGCATTACACAAACTAACTTGTCATTCCCAGGCAATGCATAACATTAAAAAATCAGTTAAGTTTTAAACACAGTTCAGTTTCAGTAATAATTCAACTTTACTGTGATGTCTTCATATCATCATTACAAAAATTTCATATGATTATAAATAATAAAAATAAATCTAATTTATGTTGCACTTGGCCCTAATAGATAATTTTTGGGATCTGAAGACTCTTCATTAAAAAAAACGACAACATTGATTTGGAATGAACAACGTATAGTATTAAACAAATTAAATTCATGCACAATGTTTGTGACAACAGTGGATCAGTTATGGAGTTGCTTTAACCAGGTAGTTAATGAGTAAAGCTGCATATTTTATCACTCTTTACTTAAAGATTAAAATATCCAAATCAGTGGAAAATAATGCCTATGGGAATTTCAATGAATCTTAACATCCATTATTACTTCCAAAATATTAAAATGGTTAACCCAAAATGGTTAAATAAAAACTA